AATAAAGGGGCTTTTGGGTTATTTTCCCGCATCCTGTTTCTCAGAAGATACCGTTAATGGTTTGTGCTTCCATTTGCGCTTAGGAAAACTTCTTCGCAAGTGGTCGACCTTCAGAACTCTGGAATTAACCGTTTGTCCCCAGCTGATTTCCCGTGGTTTCCGTATTTGCGAGACCGTAACCGACCAGGGGGTCGATTTTTGAAACCAGTCGCATCTATTCGTATACGCTTAGATGCGAAGACTTAAAAACGTATACGTTTTCCAAATGCAATTTTTGACTACTGTTCGTAACTGCTGGAACCGAAACGTACAGTGCATATGACAACGTCGCCTTTATTGATTGATTAGAACTAAAACGGACTATTTGACGTTCATTGACGTTTGGGTTTGAGCTTAGGTGGTGAGGTGAAGATATTGCTCAGTCATTTCAAATTAAAGAATAATAATATTTTAGGCACTGATTAGCATGAATATTGAAAACACGATGGACACGCCGAAGCGAGGGAGCCATCGCACGCAAAACCAAAAAGGGTGGCTGGTAGAGTTTGCTAAAAACCACCCCGATATAATAGCAGGGAAACAAACTATGACTTTGACGTGCAAGAAAATGCAAGACTCATGGAAAGAAGTAGCTGATACATTTTGATAAATTGTGCTTCATTTAAGACTTCTATGGGGTTGCAAGGATTACGGTTCCTATTCGGGCGATAACTGCGTTCGGCATTCTCTAAATTGTCTACTACAAACACATTCACAGCTTCATCCATTGTTGTTAGTACATACCTTTCAAGTCTCAAGAGTCAAAACTTCAACATTAACCAATACATAACCCACAAAACGTCAGTTGCGAGCGTTTGCGAACGCCAATTAACCGCTCGCAGAAAAACGAACACAATTGAACGTATACGCAATATAAACGTATGGTCAAAAATTGCAAACATACGTTTCTTTACGAATACGTATACGTTTTAAGGAAACGTACGGCCAAAAATCGACCCCCAGGAGCGAGGTTCGATAAACTCCTGGTGGCGCTCGAGATTCAATTCAAGATTTAATTGTACCGATTAATTCTATTTTTTTCCGAAATTTGTGTGAGACATTACTGGGGAGTTCTGATGCAATAGCCGATCGAAACTCGAGATGTATTAATAAAACAGAAGAAAAATATCCGTTTATTTCTTTATTTAAGTTTTAAAAAGCAACTGACTAGTACCTATTCTCTATCTAATTATACAATACAATACAATTCTTCCTACAAATTTTAATTGATGTGGAAATAAGTGGAAATTTATACAATAAGGTTTGGAACATGGGAAATTTATGAACAAATCCTTATTGTGGTATGAAGCCGATTAAATTAAACAAATATGACGCATGTTTTTCTCGGAATTACTACGATGAAGTGGAAAATACTATTGAATTTCGAGTGATCAAGATTTTCAACGCCCTATGTACTTTAGCGGATTGAAGGCACTGCTATCAGAAAATTGTGTTAAACTGCATGCAAGGACCAAGGAGGATGATCAAAACTGAAACTGAAAGTTTACTCCATTATTTATGGAGGCGGATAATTGGTAAATCCTCTGTGACTGCAGATCGAAGAAAAACAAATCGTGAACACATTAACGCAACCACAATATCCAGAGTAAACGTTTAGTATTCCTTCAATTTCTTAATTTTTCTTACTGAGAAATGGTTATTTATCGCTTCGTTGTGTAGTCTTTGGAATGTTACAAAATATTCG